AAAGCTGAACTTTCACTTAACGCGGATTTTTCCACAGCAACGCGGTGAGTGTCCGGCTCGGATGCTATTTTTAGATTTTGACCACGCGCCACCCGCCCGCCCGCCCTCCTGCCTGCCTGCCTGCCTCTCCCTCCTCCTCCCTCCGCTTGGGCAAGCGGCGCGGTAAGGTTGCGCAGTGTGTGTCTTTGTTGCGTTATCACTGACGTCATATGACGTCTCGGACTGTGATTGGCCATGCAGCCCTACCCCCCTCTGCTGCTAGCTGTAATTGGCTTAAAGTATTATGACGTGACTACCCCGGGGAGGGAGGGAGGGAGGAGAGACGACGCTTGACCTAGCCGCGGCAGTTTCATCCCTCAAGGCCACGCCGTGTTAACGCGCATCCATTGTTCCGTAAAATGGCTTCCGCCGGACCACCACCCCCAGAGAGAAACCTTTCCTTACCTGGACCCAGCGGCACTAAACCAAAGAAGACACGACGTTCATTAAGCTACGAGCTGAAGTACCAAATTGTTCAAGATTTGGAGAAAGGAAGACGCCAAGTTGATCTCGCGCGCCAGCATGGCGTCAACGAATCTACGATTCGTACGATCAAGAAGGATGCAGCCAAGATAAAGGAGCACATGAAGCTCACAAAGTCTGCAGGTGCTTCAGCTATCAGGTATTGCCAGAACAGGGTGCTGGCAAAAGTGGAAACTTTGCTGGTGAGTTATTTGGTGCGTCAGGCGCGACGCAACATGGCGGTGGACACGCGCTCAGTGCAGGAGTACGCACGTGAGCTATACGCAGCAGTGACACGTAAAATGGGAATTGCAGAGCCCAAACCCTTCAATGCTTCCCATGGTTGGCTGCATAGGTTTAAGAGGAGGAACAAGGTCACCAACATCAGCATTGTTGGTGAGGAAGCGAGTGCTGACCGTGCGGCGGCTAGAGATTTTCCTCCGTTTTTACGTGAGATTATGGAGGAAGGACAGTACACGTGACGTACATGGACGAATCTGGTCTTTTCTGGAACCTTCCAAGACCTTCGTTGTCCAAAAAGTAAGGGGCCGGAAGATGCAGAAGGAACGCATCACCGTCCTGTTTACCACCAATGCCTCCGGTACCTGTAAACCAAAGTTATCGGTGATTCACAAAGCCCGCAAGCCGCACGCCTACAAGAATATGGACATGAACAAGCTTAATGTCCACTGGCTAACTGCACGTAAGGCGTGGATGTCCTCTTCTCTGTCCCTCTTCTGGTTTGACAACTTTTTTGTTCCTGACGTGCAGAAATTCTGCGAGCAACAGAATGTTCCATTCAACATTTTGTTGCTCCTTGACAACGCACCTGGACACTCGCCCCTACTAATGGATCGTCACCCCAACGTAAAAGTGGTCTTCCTTCCTCCCAACACCACGTCATTAATCCAGCCTATGGACCAGGAGTTAATCTGCAACGTTAAAGCTGCATACTCGGCAAAGAAATTCAAGCTCCTGAACGACTCTACCAACACCAAGGATGAGTTGCGTAAGCTGGGTGACACCGACAGCGAGAGTAAAAGCGACGAGGACAAGGAACAAGAGGCGGCGACTCAAGAAGTTCTCGTCAAACAATTTTGGAAGAAGTTTAACGTCAAACAAGCTGTAGACTTCTTGGTGGAGGCATGGGATCTGCTGTCTACTGCTACGATTCGTCACGCATGGAGACATGTGTTGCATGGCATACCAGGTGAGAGGAGGAGTCAATCTGTTACTGGTCAGGTTCAGACTGTTGCAGTAGCAGTGGACCTTGCCAGAGAAGCTGCGCAGACTGTTACAGCTGAAGGCTTCTCCGAGACCACCAACGAAGACATCATGGAGGTGATCAGAGATCCTGAAGTGACTGCCGACGAGATGTTGGAAGAAGAACCCGCCAGTGAAGAGGAGGAAGAAGGTGCGTCATTCTCCGAAGAACCTAGTTTAAGTCATAGTGATATTAAGTGTGTCATAGAGTTAACAGAAAAAATTAAGTCCATCGTTTCCCGCGACACTGACGATGAACGCCATGACGTCTTCCATAACCGACTGGTGCAGGCTATGGAGCCGTACATCAAGGTGTATCACGACAACATCAAAGCCAGCCGTCAGCAAAGCATAACCGAGTTCTTCGCCCGCAACCCACCACAGCCAGCCCAAGGCAGTGATAGTGATAGTGAAGGTGATTTTGAGGGATTTGTCAGGGAAGCCATGACAACTGTAAGTGACAGTGATATTGATTCACCTAGTAATGGTGATTCACCTAGTAATGGTGATTCACCTGAGGGGCAGTAATCTGCCCTCTGCCTCGGAACCAGCCTCCATCCCCGTATGCCGACCCATCTCTTCTACTACCGTGAGTGTTCCTTAAAAATTTTCGTTTTTTAACCTATTCTTTATTTTTCCTATGTTAACCTTTATCTTTCCTAACCTAACCTCTTCTATATTACTTGTTTTTCATGCCACCATAAAGTTAAGATAGAATTTTTACTACAACATAGTTATTTGTCGTCAAAAAGTGGAGTTTGGGGGTCGGGCTGGGTTCTATTGGAATTAATCCCATATGTTCTGTTATTCACTTAACGCGGTTTTCACTTAACGCGGGACCCTCTGGGTTCAATTGACCGCGTTAAGTGGGGTACAACTGTATTATTATTGTTATTGTTATTTTTTTGCCCTCTAGGCCCTGATGTGGGTCAGTGACCTGTGCTCGGTTGGGATATTCCCCATTTAAAAAAATCTGAGGGTTGGCAACCACAGTCCTCCACTCTAAACATTCTTGGGCTGTTTTCACCAAGCCTCTAAGGTTTTGTGCCTCTCTGGGGGACCCGGTTTTTAATTTAATTTCATCCATCACAGTCTCTGCCTCCCCCTGGCCCTTCTACTCTCAACTTTGCCCATTAATATTTCTGTTATTATTCCCTCATCCCTAATTATTTGACTAATGTATCTCATTTTTCTTCTTCTGTACATTTCAAGTATTTCTCTTCAAGTTTTTGCTAATCTTTGTACTTCTTCCTTTGTTTTCCTGTCAGTGTAGCTATTTGTCTATAATACCATTTCAAAGGCCTACAACCTTTTTCTGGTGCCTGCTAAAAGTGTCCACTCTTCTAACCCATACATCAGTCCTTACCATATGTAAAGCCTTTCAGCTGCCTTTTTCTCAAATTGAAGTTAATGTCTCTTTTCAATAGGTCTTTTACATTATTAAATGCTGTTTTTGCTTGACCTATTCTTGTTTTGATTTCTTCCGCACATATTCCATCACAGCCAATGTTGCTTCCTAAATGCACCAAATTTAAGACTTGTTTAATTTTCCTGTTGCCTACCATAATTTTTATTTTATGATTTACGGTGAGTTCTGCTATAACGCGTGTTTTGATAACGCGAATTTGCTCAAACGCGATTTATGAATAGAGGAATGATATTTGTATAACGCGAACGCTTGTTTGCTGTAACGCGATTTTTGCTTACTATTTCTCCAATTTTGTGGTATTAACTGTGAATATGGTAAAGAAGAATATCTCCAAGAAGCGTTCTGGTGATCGAATTCCCGGTGATGATCGTAAAAGAAAGGATATAACACTTGAAGAGAAGCTCGATGTTATCAACCTCAAAATCACCCTTCTCCCCCATCAAGTTATATTCATATTTTTTCAAGGTAAAGTGTTACATTTACTGTATGATTTCATTATTAGATATGATTGTAACATTTATTTAGACTGTGCTATCCTTTGTGTTAGGCTAACTACTAATTTTTTTTCGATTTCGAGTAGTAATCTGCACCTAACCCTATTTTCTCCATAAACCCTGTTATTTTTATTACGCGATTTTCTATAACACGATATTTTACGAGAACACAACTATCGCGTTATAGCAGAACTGACTGTATTACCTGTTTGGAAAGAACCATTACTTTAATCTTTACAGCATTAACTCTTAAGCCATATTTTTCACCTTTTTACACTAATCTGTTAACCAGTTTTTGTAATGCTTCTTCATTATCTGTGATAAGAGCAGTATCATCTTCATAGTGTATATTTGATATTATTTTACCATTCATTTTTACTCCTTCATTATCACTAAAAACTTCTCTCATTAAGAATTCTGATTGTACATTATACAATGTTGGAGCTTGAACACGGCCTTGTCTTACTCCTTGTCTAACTGTAAACCAATTAGTAAGTTCATTATTTACTAACACTGCAATCTCCTGTTGCCAGTAAACATAACCCATCTACAATAAACCTATTTATGAATTTTGTATTTTCCAGTAATTATTAATTTACACCTGTTTGTAAAAGGTGCTTTATTATACTGTAATCTAAATATGTTTAGATATTTCATGGATCATTTATTAACACTAATTACTCGAATTTTTAAATTGTGAACCTTGATCCTTAATCAGCATATAAAGTAGTACCTTTGTATGTAATTTGAACACAATCCATGGTATAACCCCTAAGTGCTCTTTTGAATACAGAGCTTGAAATAGTAACATAATGCCTTTTTGTTTAATTAAGCATTATTTACAGGGCCTGAATTGTGAAATACAATATTAGCAAGTGGTGCTACCACAGAATCATGATAACAGCATTAAAAACCAAGGTGCAGGAAGTGTGTTGATGAGAGTGTGGGTCTCCTTTCTGCGAGGGGATAATCTTTCAAATGGGTGCTTTAAAGATTGTTCTTATGGCATCTGTAGAACTCCCCTACTGTGACTTGTATGCTTGGTAATATATAAATTTAATAGTAAAATGACTGATGTTATGCCAACAGTAATCACAAGATTTAAGCAATAATTATATCGTTCACCATTTTATTTTTTTTTTCAATATAAAAGATGTAGGAATATTATGAATTTTGCTCCTTTAAAGCTGCTGGTTCACTCATAACTATAATATTGGATGTCTTAACTTTATCTATTCTTTTTGGCCACAGTTTTAGGTTTGCTTACAAAACTTTCCACAAGTTTTTACATGTGTTCATCTCTTCCTCTTTAGAATGAACAGCCCTGGCCTTCAGGTCATCAGCTTCACAGTGCTGCTGTACCCAGGTTTCTGTGTATGGTGTAGGGTTGAACAATTTCAATAGTGGTCCTAAACATTTATTAAACATTAAAGAAGACAAATTTCTCACCTTCAGAGATGCTCTCAGGTTGTTCATCGTTATTTTCATTGCACTGATGTCAACTCAAGTCCTGGTTACACATGAAAGTTATTTTAAAGGGCCTTGCCCAAAGTTGTGTTTGATTTTGATTATCACTTCTGTTCATATACACTCTATCCTCTTTAATTTGGATTGTTATAGTTCAGATTTCTGCCTAATTTGTATGTTTTTTATGAATTAAATTGTTTGAATTCGCAACTTCATATTTTACATCAATTTTATTTTTATATTAAGAATAAACATTTGCATTTCTGAAAAAGTTTTGGTATTTCTATTTCTCCCACTTGTAATCCCTTTCTCACACTGGAGGAGTGTGACCACAGTTTAGAGCACTGCTGACTTCTTTCATTAACTCTCATCCTTTTTGCCTTGACTGTTATAACAGATATGTTTAGTTACTTAGGCTATTTCTCTTCCACAATAATCCCCCAACATTTCATCTGGTTTATCTTTGGAATTTCATACAACTGAATGTAAGCAACATGTTTGTCAAAGACAGCTCAAGTATTGTCTTACAGTCTTTGTTGCAAATCTTTGAAGTTTAATACCAAAATGTCTTGAAACTTTTCAAATCATAAGTAAGCCAAGTTAACATCTAATGGGAAGTAATAAGTTAAGTCATGGTAGAACAGAATTAACTTTCCCTCACAATAAAAGGTGTATGTTAGGTTATATAATACTATACTGTACTGTGGCATACTATCAGAGCACAGCCAGTTTGGTAGTACACTACAGTACTGTATTTGTAATGTAAAAAATACTCAAGACTTTTGTGATTTATTTGAGCAGGTTTACCTTTCAACACAAGTCAGAAAATTACAAGGCCATTATGAATAAAATATAAATAAAAGTTTTACAAAATGTAAAATAAAAAATTCCATGAAATAAAAAATTTAGTGATAATCCAACTTGATATAAATAATGATGACCTTAGTTGCAAATGTTCTTTTTTTAAATGCTTGATTGTATGATCTTGTTAATTAACATAACGGTACAAGCTATAGTATACAGGTGAATGTGGAGATGTAATTTTCCGATACTGTATTCATATATTTTAGCACCACATGCATTTTGTCTCTGAAATACATTTTTTATAATCATGAATGTTTTAATCCATTTTTTCTCTCTTAGGGAGGAGATCACACAACGGGGGTTCCCTCGGCACCACCCGTACCTCTTAGTAATGAGAAAGAGGAGCTTGGAGAAGTTATATATGAAAAAATAGTTTCCAAATATCCCTCGGAGGCTGCCAAGTTGACGGGAATGCTGTTGCAGATGGATTACAAAGATCTTGTAAGAGTAATTGCTGAACCAGAACTTTTAATGAAGAAGGTTGAATTAGCAGTCAGTGTTCTTAGAGCTGAATGTGAAAATCAATCCTAAGACTTGAGTAATCATTACAAAACAATGAATATAACAAGGCACATCAGTGGGAAAAGAATAAACTGTATACAGTATTTTTTCGATTTAACGAACTAATTTGAGCCACCCCTTTCCATTAAATCTAAATTTCTGCTAAATCAAACTTTCCAGTATTTTCGCTCGATTTAGCGAACTAGTTTACTATATCACGTGTGATAACATTAAATTCCGCTCCAGATGCGCCTCTTGATGCGTGGGGTTTGTTTACATCCGCTCAGTCTGTGTCATGCCGCCACCTCGTGTGTTGTTCACTGCTACCTCTCGGTCAACTAACTACTGTGCTTAGACGTCATGCCGAAAGTTTCAGCAAGGAAGTGGTACCCTTTTTACTTTTCTCCTATTCGCCACTGATCGGCTTGTTAGCTGCTTGGGTTATCAATTGGAAAAAAGTTTGGAAACAATAGGAAAAATTTGAAATAAACACCGAACCCCTCAGTTAAGTAAATAGCGAATAATG